GCTCTACCACTGAGCCACCTTCCCAGCCCTACTTCTTGTTCTTGACCAATGTTTTCAAATCCTCTGTGAGAAGTGTCCTGTGCAAAGGAAGAAGAGATATATAGTCTATGATTTCCATTTGTTCACAAAGTGACTTAACACCTCTAGTTTGGAGAGACTCTGCTATTCACTCATCTATGTGTGTATGCATACATCTATCTTACATTTATTGTGCAGTAGCCATGTGCTATCAGTGTGTTATGCAAATGTTTATAAGCATCAGTGTCATGTTTTCCCCTACCCCCAGAGATTTCTGATCATGTGGAAGTAGAAGAATTAAATTCATGGTTTTACAGTTTTCAGTGTTTTCTTAAACCCAAACAATGAAGAAGCAGAAAAACTGTAAAACTGGTAAGAATTAATTCATGTAACATATTGTTTTGGACATTTTCCAAGTAGTACAATTATCTAAAAGCAGGCTGACATTTATATCTCTAGCTTTCTATGCTTGTTAAAATACTTTCCTTGTTGAAATACTCAATGCTGAAATAAATTTCATCTAACACCTGGCCATTGAATAAATATATCAACAAAAACACATCTTGTTGCTTGCACATTAGGTATACGTTTTAGAAATCCAGTTAGTGTTATATTCTTGGTATGCAGTCTCCCTTTTCTTTAGTATTAGCTAATTTTGGGCTTCTACCTAGTATTATAACAGGCTCCTATCTACTATTATAACAAGTCAAATATTTATCACAAGCCGATGCACGATGTATAACAGCTATAGTGAGGAACAGTGCTTTGTGGAATTTTGTAATGATTATAAGATACTAATTAATTTCTTTATCTTTGAAACTAGCACTTTTTGAGTGAATTATCAGTCTCTTTTTACTGCCTAGGGATGCAGTTAGGAATAGGGAAAGGTGGAGAATGAAAATAACAGTCATATCTTTTATGGAGTTTAGAATTTAGTGGAGGATACAGACACTTGCACGAATCGTTTCACCACAATGTGACAAATGATAAGAGAAGTATATTTCTTACTGGATAAAACATCATTCACCCCTCCTTAGATTGATTGCATACTACATCGATGATTATCTTCAATCCTCTACAATTGGTCTGTAGCCTATTAACACTGAGAAGGGCTTCAAACCAAGAATGCACGGGGTAAACCAGTACTCACTGATCCTGCATTATCCATCTGGGCTGGCAGAGTCTGCCAAATGCCCTGAGGATGAGTCATCTATCTAGTAACACCAGGCACAGTTGTTGAGATCTTCACTTTTAGATTCAGTCTAATGAGCGCCGATACTCCCTGGTCCATTTTGCATAAATGTGGACATTCTCAATTACGTCTATGAAAACGCAATTTTCACTGTTTGGATCAGGGCCTATCATCGAGAATTGTCTGCAGACATTCCAGAAAAAGTATATTTGAGTTCATGGATTCTTCCACTATTTCATTTGTCATGGATTATACTCAAATATTTAAATCTCTTGTTCATTCTAAAGGAAGCTCATGAGAGCGAGCTTGCAAAAGTATCAATGACTATTTTACCCATGTTTTTATCATCCATAATTTAAATTTAAAAGGTTGGACAAAGGGATTACAATTTAGCATGTCCATGTAAGTGTCCTGTGATTTCTGTTTAGTTACCCCTTCCATCATTTTCCCCCATTCCATCTGTTTCTTCCCCCCAGACTCATTTAATATATCTCATTTTATCACATATGCATATTAAATATTTCTGCTTTATTTGGTGCTGTTCCCTTTTTCATCTACCCACTCATGATCCCTCTCTTTACAGTGATATTTCAGCTTTCTGATACTGATTTTGTTAAACTGTCTAATTGTTCAAAAAGGTTTAATCTATGGAAATTTTCTTCTGCATATACCATACTTTAGTCAACTGAATTGTGGATATAAGCTCATGATTCTGTGTATATTTACATGGGAGGTGATATTTTGGTGACTAAGAGGGAACTTCTGTCTTTTTGAGTAAAGTAGTGAGTTTTTTTTTTTTGTTGTTGTTGTTGTTGGTTGTGGGGCCTGAACTTTGGGCCTGGGTGCGGTCCCTCAGCTCTTCAGCTCAACCCGAGCGCTCTACCACTTGAGCCACAGCCCACTTCAAGCAGTGAGTTTTGAACATCATCATACACAATGTTTACCTTTTAAAATGTTTGAATGTTTATTTGCACAATCTTAGTAGTATAAGATGCAACATAGTTTTGGAAATCAACTACAATGCTGAAACTTGAATGAATGATTCCAAGTATTAGGCATTACAGTTTAAATTACGCTAATGTTAGCTTTAGTATTGGAATAACATTTTGGTTAATAAGTAAATGTGAACATGACAATACCATGAGTATATTCTTCCTACTTAACTATAAATTACAGTTTTATTGTGGTTTGGGTCATAAATGTGACCAATGCTTGTTTATATATCCTAATCAAATCCAGACTTACTTATTAATCTTGAAAAGATTCTAGAAATACATTCCAATGGGTTATGTAAATTAGATATATTTTTTAGCTCTTTGATTTTCAACATGAATGGGTAGTCATAACTTTGACTTAATGTTCACTGCACAAGTTATATGACATTTATATGATAGTTATTCTCACAGGCTATTGGTAGTCATTTGCAAAAGTGAGTGGCCACAGTTTTTGATCCTTGAGTTACATGTCCTCCATTTATTTCAGAGAATTACAGGTTTCAAAAGTTAATGCTGTGTTTGGGCGATCTGTAAAATATTAAAATGTACATATGAACTCACAGATTTGTGGTAAAGAAAGTAATTTTTTGTTACATTTTCCACATGGTAATCACAGTTTTCCTAATAAGCACATTAGGGAAGATCAAAATTACTTTTAGATTTAAAATGTTCTGAATTCATGTCTTCTCTAGTGCTTGTCATGATCAAGATGCACTGTAGTGAGAAACTGTTCTGTTGAATGGCAATTCTTTTGCACAACCTCTTAAAGATAATAAAAACTTTTAGAAAACATTATAATCATGATAAAAGAAGGTTCCTATTGGCTTTACACTCGTGGAGAAAATTGTCCATTCATCTCAGTCCTCAGTTGTCACAAAGGCCATTTCTCTGTCACATATTCATAACATGTGGAAATGCGACAGTATGCTATAACAAAGGGACTTCCTAGGTTTACTATTATCATTTAAAATTCTTGCTCTCTTTTGGCATTTCCTTGTCATGATCAAGTTTAAACCAACACACACGTTGTCTGGATTCATGACCTAGAAAAATATTCTGTGCCTTTTGGGATTAGACCTTTAATAAATTCAATAGCCCATTTGCATCATAGATGTCTTTTCTGAAAATGTCTTATCCTCTTGTAAAATCTTCAATATGAAACTGTGATTTTAACTAGTGTGTCTGAGCTGCCCAAGATAGAAAATGTGACAACTTAGGAAAAGTGCCAGATAGCAGATACAGAGTGAAGGCATTGTATATTTACCAATTCTTTTTAGATTTACCCCCCCCCCAAACCTTCCTTCCAGTATAAGAAGTTAGGGCTTTTGGAAGAAAAATACCATCTTCTGCAATAAAAACAGACACTTGAAATCTTGGCCCCAAGTTTTCAGACAACCTGAAAACTCACTCTTTACTTTTTATACTGTTTTGATAAATGATGTGTATTTTCTGTGTAGAAGAGACCCTACCTTGTAATCTAGGGGCTTCATGTACTCTTCCTGAGGGGAGAGACTTTTGGCATTGTTCCATGGCTGGGTATAATTCATTTATGTCTTTCCAGTTTTTCCTCTCTGATCTTTTCTCTGTGTATCTGTCAGTAGCCGTCCCTTGGGAGCAGCACTGTGCACTTCATTAATAAGAAGGGATTAAGGGAAAAAGCCCTGGTCTCCTAATACACTTGGATAATTTGGTGCCCTCCACAGGGCAATAGACCCCTGCTGCATAGATGTCATTAGAAACATACAATTTCATTACTTTTTTACTGGCAGAGCCTTGAGTGAAATACAAAATATGTTGTCTCATACACAGGGAGAAAGCTTTCATTCACTTTTTGCCCCTAAACATAGCAGAATGCAAAAATATATTTTATGTTTTTTACATTTATATTCTCTTCCTCTAACAACACTCAAAACCGCACTTTTATTAAATATTGAGCAAAATAAAGATCAAAAGGAAATCGTTTATATATTTAAATCTCGAACGTGCTTTATACATATTCAAAATGAACTAATATACTTGTTTTGTGTTCCTACTATGTGCCAGGAGATCTGGAAGCAGGGGAATCACAATGAAAACATCATACACTCCTTTTTTTTTCTTTTTCTGAACCCTGATTTATTGAATTTTATAATTGTAAGTGAATGTAGAAATGAATATATTTGAAGGAAGCCATATGGTAATTAAAATGATTATAAGAAAGTATGTTGTTAACTCTTCCTGGTTATCTAAATTCATCTTTGAACTTACATTGTTTGCTAATAATTGATACTACATTTTGAATGGAGCCACCGATACAATGATTTTGTGAAAACATTTGATACAATGAGTATAAACTGCCCTTAAAGGATTTGCACTGTATTTACTACAGGTGTCCCCCAAACAGGAAGCCATATTTTGCCACTGGAGTAGTGTGCATCCTGGCTGAGTGCCTGAGAAAGGGTCCTGGGCTTCAGGCACCTTCTGTAAAATTCCTAAAACATGCCAGTGTCATTTGTAGGCCTGACACTGCAGTGGTGTCTTTCTGAGAATTCAAACATCACTTTTCCCTAGCACCGAAGAGAATCAGGTTTAGTAGTGGTCCATTATCTCACTATCACAGACACACACCTGTCATTGACATGAACAAGTGACACACAGCTGGAGTTGTGCTTGGGAGAAGAAAGCCCTTGATTATCAGCTATTTACAAGCCACTCCTTGCAGAGATAGTTTTTGCTCTCCTACTCCTAGCTTTTGTTCAGTGAAATGGATATTTGCAGCTCTTTGTCTAAGATAAATGCTAGACTAGACCTTTAAGATGATAGAGACTGGGGTTTTCAAAGACCAAAAATGCAAAGCAGCACAGGAACAACAATGGAACACATACACTAGTCAGTAGTGACAATCCTCCAGAATCTTGTTGGGTTATGTACAGAATGCTCTGCAATGGAAGATCAAATAGGTCATCTAGTCAGGTTAGATGTTTTCTCCCCCCCCCCTTTTTTTGTTATTCTGCCACCACACCTGCCTTATCTTTGAGACATTTTAATTCACTCAACTATTAATCAAGCTTGTATAGAAGATGATCAAATGTCCTAAGTAGTGAAACCAGGCTAGGTTGGGACCTGGCAGGACCAGTTTACATTTTCTAGAATGTCAGGGCTTAACAACTAACACAAAGTCAGGAATTAGCTAGTTAAGTTCTTGTCAAAAATATGTTCCAGCTAAAGTTTACATTTAGATAACCAAAGTCACAAACAAACTCCCCAGTGTTACTAATAAATTTTAAAACAGTAAGCCAAGTGGTTAAGGATTAAAAAGGTTAGACAGTCTTTCATGGTACATTGAGGTTGTGCACTGAAAACAGATCCATCATTTGTTACAAGAATACAGATTTCTTTTTCCTCATTGTTTTCCCCATCCCTGCAAGGTTTCACAAGTCTGCTTATCTTGAATATCCATAGGTGACCCTTGTGATTTGATTCATTGAATCGAACTAATAAGTTCACAAGCTTTCTGAGTATTCCTTCTAATTTTCTGGGGCTTTAACCCCATATTATCTTGGATAATTGGGGAGGAGAAGGAAGGATTATTGTGAATAGGAGTTGGAGTTAAAAATTGGGTACTTGCAAAATAAATGAAACAATTAGCAACAAGCTTTGATAATATTCTTTTGCCAAGGTAGTTTATAAATAAGGAATTACTCACAAACAACTTAATATACTGTATATCAAGTGATATACTGTATTTTGCCTAAATTCAACTTAATGGAATAAATACTCAAATGAGGACTGACAATACTGATTTCCTCACAGAGGAAGTAAAGGTGGATAGATGTGTTAATGGGTTCTGTTAGGTATGACTTAACCACATCTTGATATTTATTTTTGATTGTTTATCAATGAAAGATAAAGTATGTATTTATATATGTATATATATGTATATTTGCTTTGAGGGTATTTAAAAATTCTTTTATGGGATTTTAAATTCACAATAGTGTTCTCCCTTTCCTCCTTAGTAAATAATGAAATGTTTTTTGGATGTAGACTAATATAATATAAAACCACAAAACTGCATGTGTCTAATTTACAACAAATCTGTCTCCTTGATAGGGGGAAGGAAATCTGAGGACCGTTCTAAGGGGTCTCGTCTGCTTTCAGTGCTATCTTCTAGTCATACTGAAGATAATACCTCTCCCGATGGGTCTTTCCCCTTCTTCTCATCTCCACGGTCAATGTCAATCACATGCACCAGTCCAGGCTTCAGAATTAAGTCTTCAGTCTCTACCTGGCTCCTGTTGTCTTCCACTTCCATGTAGCTTCCTTTTGTTTGCTGGGCAGCTTTGCTGAAGGCTTCCTTAAAACGACGCTTGAGTTCGACATCTGGACAGAAGACATATTCATAAAGACCACCAGCGAGAACGGCTCCTATTATTGGTCCAACCCAATATATCTGGGAGAAAAGATGGAAGAGAATAGAGCCTTAAGCTATTTCACTGAATAAGTGGTCAGTATAGAATTTATCTTGGTTAGGAGAGCACTGGGGGAAAGCAAGGGAAGGGGTGACCTTGCCCAAAAGTAAATGCAATCTTTGCCTGACTTAGGCAACTCTAACCCCTCTGTTTTTAGGATTTTCAAAAAAAAATAATAAAAAAAGAGAGCACTGTGTCATGTACAAAAATGAGAACATAACCAATCCATACCAGAAATCCTTAAATTATTAAGAAACATTTGAACAGAAAAATTTGAGGGACTCATTTCTTATCTTTTCTTCTTACTGATTACATTTAAAGATATTCTGAAGGGAGGGGATAACAGTTCAAAAAGAGACGTATTCATTATCTTACTTATGTAACTGTAACCTCTGTTTATCACCTTTACAGTAAACATATAAAAATTCTGATAATTCCTTTTTGTATGTGATGGGCATGGTAGTGATAGTACTTACAGAAGGCTGCATTTTAACTTAACATTCTCATGCTTTACTCTCTTCCTCTGCAACATGGAGCTAATATGTACATTGTGACATACAGAGATGAAATGTAATACTTGTAAAGTACGTAACAGTTCTGAGCTCACTATGAACCACTTCTATTCCATATTAAAGATGCATGTGACTAAGTTAGCTGTAAATTATTATTTCCCTTACACAGCTTGCTTTTCTTCTTAAAAATCTGGTGACTTGACATAATTGAAAACCCTGTGGTCTGTTCATTTCTCTTGTCACAAGTTTTCAGCTTCATGGTGCTCATTGAGGAAACTTATATTGAGTTTATGGATAGTTGTTAGTTAAGAAGTAGCAATTTTGCAGAACTACAGAAAAAAAGAAAAAGGGTTAAAAATTGGATCAATTGGGGTTGGGAAGGTGGCTAAGTGGTAGACTGCATGCCTTGCATACATGAGCCCCTGGGTTTGATTCTTTAGTGCCACATAAGCAGAGAAAGCCACAAGTGGCACTGTGGCTCAAGTGGTACAGTGCTAGCCTTGAGCTGAAGAGCTGAGGGACAGTGCTGCCCAGGCCCAGAGTTCAGGCCCACAATAGACAAAAAATAAAATAAAATAAAATAAAAATTGGATCAATTATGTACCTGTGAATGTACCTGTAATATATACTAAGCTCTGAGTTTGAGTAAACTGAAACAGTTGCTTTAGGTTCAGGGTATACCAATATGATAAAATATTAGAGGTGGAGTCAGAAGATTCAGTTGATCTTACAGAAGCCTGTTTGCTAACTGAGCAACTGTAAGTAGCACTGCATCATCTCATTGAATTGGAATGGTAACTTTTGGGATCAGTATTCCTATTAAAATCTACATTCTGATGATGAAGATATCTGGTACTCTGAGAGGCATAAAGCTTGCTCATGCAGTGATCGAGGTGAGATTTCTGTCTGTCTGACTGAAATCTCCTTTTGAACCATGATACTGTTTTCTCTTTCATTTGGAAGAAAAATATGGTGAATGATTCTTGCATAAGACATCTTTTGTAAACTAATGTCACTTAGCTTCATTGTAAAAAATCTAAAGACAATTCATCTTGGAAGCTGAAGCTGAACACATACCCTTAACCAGGGAAAGTATTGGCTGGAAAAATTAAACTCTTTATCTTGACATGAAAAAATCCAATAGAGAGTTTATCATCCCATTTCAAAGGAGAAATAAGAGCCTTCCTCTGAATATCTTTACCCTTTATTCCTTTGTTAAGATCTCATTAGACTGGTACTATTTCACAGGCTTCAAATCCCACAAGGGAAAGTAGCCACTGTTAAATAATAACCACCCTTTCCCAAAACAATATAGCTACATGTTTTAAAAAGTAAATAGGTCTCAATTCCAAAATCCTATTCCAAAAGAAAGTCAGATATACTTTCAAGTGTCTTTAAAATTTTTTATAACAAAATCTTATTGTTAAAAATATAGAAAATGAACAAAATTGTAAAGAGAATTAATATGTCACACTACAAAAAAATAAAAATACTCATGCTATTTCTAGTCTATCAATATGCCTTAAAATTAATCTTAAATTTCACACAATCATTGTTACTAAACAGTTTACAAAATTATTTGTAGTAAAATTAAATTTTTTATAAGATAACAAGAGGAAATTGTTAAATTAATCAATAGGCCAAGAATTATACCATATTTAAATTTTGTCAGTTTAGCACAAATGACAAAAAATTGATAAAAAAACCCCCAAAAACAAAAACAAAAAAATCTTTCATTCACATTTTCAGGTCCTCTTTAACAAATTAAAAATAGTTAATAACAAAAGAGTTGAAATTTAATAAATTAAAATAAAAATTGTTTTCTAATCATACAATCTATATACTGCCCATTAAAAATTCCCATTCTTGTTAATGTAGCAATTTTTTTGAGACATAGCTGAAAATATTCAGTGGCAAAAATTGAATCTCATGGATGTGATTGTTGGCCATGTTTTGCATAGCTCTGTCCAAAATCTTGTTTTGAACAGTAACTCCCATGCTGGTATTTACAAGTATTAAATGGAGTATATTATTGGTAATGGTTCAATGCACTTTTTATAGCAATGAATTCTTATAACAATGGTGTGTTGTTTTTCTTGCAATGCTATCCCATAGTTGAATATGTGTAAAATCAAAACACAAATGGCATATCCTGTTACATTCATGAATTTAAAAAGACATTGAAAAATAACATCTATGACATATAGATGACAATAAAAGTTTTGCCACGCTTGTAACTGGCCTGTGTATTGTCTTATATTTTTACTAGTCTTAATAGATAGTGTGTGAGTAGCCTACACAACTGTTCATTATTTATTTAAAGGGTTTGAATTCCATTACTGTAAGAAAAATAGAAACAAAATTGATAGTGATGTTAAAAAATAGATATCACCATTATTTGGCAGCTTTGCCCCACACATTAATAAATAGGTTGAGATTCAAAAACATACTTTTGCTGAGAGTCATTTATTTTCCAGGCTATGGTTGGGGTGAGAGGACCATAAATGTTTTCACCATCTGCATTTAAATGCTTTCAACTGGCCCATTATTAATTAGGTTACATTTTTCTAAAAAAAAAAAAAGGCAAATATTTTTGCTATGGACAGTGCTTTCAGGGATTTTTTTCTTTTTTGTTTTACAGGTTTGTTGTTGTTATTATTGTTGGGAAGGCTTTTGTTTCAATTATTTAAACACCATGTTCACTCTACCATTCTGATTTTAATTTGTTCCACATAAGCAACCTCCACATACAATGTATTCTGTTGCAGTCTGTCAGATATACGCCCAGACTGATGCTTGAACGAACAAACAAACAATACAAAGCAAAACCATTACTAAAGGCCCAGGATATATATCCGATGAGGTATTTTGCATCAGATCTGAGACTTTCTCTATGTTTTATCAAAGGTCTAACAGCGATGAGGTTTGAGATAGGGTGGATGCAGTAGAAAGTACTGACAAAAATAATAAAGAGACTGATGGCTACTTGTCCTCAACCATATATAATAAGATAGGAACTACACAATGGTTACCCAGTGGTTTTCCCAATTTCCCATGATAACAGCAGGTCCAAAGGATCGGGCTGGATTCATACTGGCACCAGTATAATTGATCTAGAGGAAGAAAGAAAAACAACTTCAGACATCCTCGAAACAGGGCTATGAGCAGGTATCATTCATTGCAATTTGCTATTTTTGTCTCATCAGGCATGCCAAGATGTTAGCAGTCATGTCAACATTCTGGTCATATAGTTGGCAAAATGACCATGTGAAATGGACAGACATGACTGGATATTGAAGAGCTCCAGCTGTAAACAGCATCTTCAGGCCAACTCTAGGGCGAGGATAAATGAAATGGATCAATTATTTAAATAGACTTGGAAACTTACTGCAAATAAATGTCCAATTGCAACAGAAAATCCAATTGCTAAAGCTATTGAACCAGTGACATCAGTGCGTTTGGAATCACAGCTGGCAAAAATAGTAAACACCAACTGAAATGTGATTATCAACTCCACCAGGAGACCATGGCCAGCAGTGAGATTTCCATGAACCTGGAGAGAGAAAAATACTCTATTGGAATTGAAGCAAGCATACATTTTTGTAACAGCATAGCAATATGAAAGGCATATTTTAACTCTGTAGAAAGTAATGGTTAATTTGAGCCTTGTGTACCATCCCAGTGGGGACATCCAATCCTGCCCCTTTCCAAAAGGGAGGAATAAATAATAAATATACAGGCATCTTTGTCAGCCACAGATAATTACTTTTACAATGACCAAGGGCAAGTTCATGTTAAATGTCAATTTTTTAAAGAAAGCTAAATGTGTTATTGTTGCACTTAACTCATAAAAACTTCCTTGAGAGACTTACAATTGTATCAAGTAGTGATTAATTCCATTAAGTAGATTTAAATTAATATATATTTCAAATAAAATTTAGGGTGTACATGGTTCCATTGCTGAGTTAAGAAGTCACATTCCTTATCAGTGAAAAAGCAAAACTAAGATAGAATGTCAGTTTTGTCTTTTTATGAGTGATCCTTTATGTAGATTATTTTAAATTTTGTAGACATAATACTTCTTTTGCTAGTTAACAAATAATTGTAATACAAATGCTGCAAGACAAATATATAGTCTGTACAATTACAGGGTAGAAGGTGGGGTTAGGAGACAGAGGAGGAAAAAGCAAATTATCATTTTTTTAAAAATCACTGAGACTTTTTTGGGTACCATTTCTGAGGCTTGAACTCATATCCTTGGTGGTGTTCCTTAGCTTTTCTGCTTAAGGCTAGTGTTCTACCACATGAACCACTGCTCTACTTCGAGCTTTTTGTTAGTTAACTAGAAGTAAGAGTCCCATGGACTTTCTTGCCTGGGTTGACTTGGAACTATGATCTTTGATCTTAGTATCTCAGTAGCTAAGATTATACACATGTGTCAGGAGCCATTAGCTCCCTTCTTTTTTTTTTTTTTTTTTGAGACAGAGTGTCTCACTATGTAGCCCAAGCTGTCCTTGATCTTAACATCCTCTTGCCTCACCCTCCTGAGTGCTGGGAATCCAGGCCTGCATGACCACACCTGGTTTTCCTATGGGTACTTTTAGTGTTGCCAGAATCAGTTTCACTATCTCAACAAAAGCCATCAAAATTCGGTGAGCAAATCAGCAACTTTATGACTCTCTCTCTGGCCATTAGGATAAGCAGCCGGAAGTGTGAAGGTAAACGTTTAAGAGACTACCGTGGTGACTCCCAGTCCTCCCACCACACTGGGAGGTGTGACCAAGTACAGAATTCCTGCTCCAATGATGGCCCCCAGGCACTGTGCGGCGATGTAGAAGACAGACTTGGCGATGCTGATCTTGCGGGTGCAGACCATGGCCACTGTGACCGCGGGGTTGATGTGGCCACCGCTGATATGCCCAAAGCATTGCACCATGGTGGCAATGCTCAGTCCAAAGCAAAGGGAGATGAGAACCATATCAACAGGCAAGGGATTTTCCTTTCCACCCCAGTTGATGGTGGATCCCAGGCTGAGCAGAACAAAAATAAGCATGGCCAGAAATTCTGCCGTGACTGCCTTCCAGAAAGCTTGCGTCCAGACCCCTTTGAAAGCCACCATGATTTCTTCTCTTCTGCACAAAGACCCGCACTTACTGAAAAACAAAAAAACAAAAAAAAAACACACACAAAACAAATGAGCATCAGAAGCCAACAGCTGAATGGATTTAGGGGAAGGGAGACAGACATACAGACTTGCTGGATGGAGCCTGTGGGGGAGGGACTGCCAAACATATTACCCAACCAGGAAAGACTGCTTCAGGAAATCCCCTTTAATTAGTAGTCAAGAGATTGCTGTGGTAGTCTCCTCGGACTTAATGTTCGGAGACCATTCAGTTTCACTCGATCATGATCCCAAGGGTCCTTAGGAAAATGTCTAAATTAAGTTCCTTACAAGATTAAAGGTAACATGTGTTTACTTTGGCATTCAATCCCTTTGAGTAGGGTTTAAAGTCTGTGTGTTTTGCATGCCATTTTATTTCAAATATAAAGTAACAGTATTTAAAAAGTAAATGAGTAAGTATTCTTGGGTTTGGACTTCCTAGCTTCAAAATGATACTCTGAGAATGAATTTGTTAAGAGTAGCCTCCTTAAATCTGCCCTGAAGCAAGGAGCGGCTGAAGGAAAGTTCTGCTTGGAATTCAGGACGGGCCCCAAATGCTGTGCTTTGAGAAGGTAAACTCATAAAGGTGGAGAGGATCCTGGTGCCTGGCAGTGGCTGTGGGAACAGGCCAGGCACAGCTGACACAGGGACACTCCTTCCTACACCCCTGTGCCAGAAGGGAGCCAGCGGACAGAGGGAGGAGCCCTGGAGCTGGGCCCTCAGAGGGACACTGCAGTGCAGATCTGGGCACTCAGCATGGGAGGACGTGACAACTTCAGGCCCCAGGGGAGCCGGCAGTGCCTTCCAGAGAGTGGGGTTGTGGCCAGTGCCTGGCAGGAGCCAGGTGAACAGACAGAAGCAACCTATCCTGAGGCCATCTCAGAGAGCAGGCTCAGGGGCTGAGGATGATTTTGTAGTGTTGGGGAGGAAGAGCAGCCCCTCCTCACTTCCAACCCTCTCTCAACCCTTCCTCATCTCCTTTTTCCTAACGGATTCCTTGGAAGCTGAGTCATGTAAGCAGAGCCAAGGGTAGCCAGAGGGATAGAGCTGGGCAGGCTAGCTAGGAAAGGGAGGTGTAGCGGAGCAAAGGCTCTCAGAAAGGGTTTGCCTGTGGGGTCTGTGTGAGGGCTTTCTTGTATGTGTTCTTGGCCTTGGAGGGCAGTGGACCTCCTCCTGAAGAGCTTGTGTGTGGAGAGCTGTAGACAGGGAGAAAAGGAACTTGGATAGGGTCAGGGGATGGTGGGCAGCAAGGCGGGCAGGGAAGACGGGAGATGTCCTCCAATCTCCTTTCCTGTCTGGGTCTTTGGAGCCCAGGAGGAGTGGGGTCTGAAGATAGTCCCTGCTCCTTCTGGCCAGAAATGGTTGAGTTTCCCTGTGGGAGAGGATTACCCCACGTATCCCATTATCTACATTTGCCTTTGTTCCTTGCCTGTGATTGTCAAGACAGTGAAGTATAGCAGAGAAGCTAAGCATAGAGGACAGTGGCAAGAAAGCCAAGCACCTTAAGGGATTAGAAATTCTGTAACTTTCCCTCTGAAGTCCTGTAGGGCCCTAACTTCCCCTTCACCACGTCCTGTCCCTGGGAGCCTGTGAGTTATGCTAGCTTTGAGGAGGTGCTCAGTCAGATCCACAAGCTGGGGCTCTCCCTTCACCTGTACAGATTCAGCAACACTTCTGGTATGATAGGGACATTTGCTTCAGGCTTAGAGAAACCCATTTTCTGCCTACGCCTGGGTGTGAGGATCAGAGAAGGGATATATGTATGTAGAAGGGGAGGAAAAGGGGGTCAAGGTAGCCTGCCACACGCGAATGTTTTCCATCTGCCAAGTGAACTCTTCTAAGTGAATCATGTAATTATGAAAAAGAAGCCCAGCTAGGGTGGTATTGACATCATACTCCCTAGGGGAAGAGAACACAGACAGAAGCAGCACTTGGAAGGGTGCAAAGAGGGCACCCTGGAAGAGGCATGGGAAAAACAGGTCCCCAAGGGGGAGAAACTCTGAGGACTCACAAATTGAAATGGGAGCGAGGACAGTCACTTCTGAACTCAGAATCCCAGGGCTGTGACGGCAGCACAGCTATATCACAGATGCTGTCTTCTAGAGCTGGGTTTGGGGAGGGGAGAGGACAAAGTGGGAAGCAAAGGAAGCAAGGTGGTCAGGAAATGCTGCCTTTTCAGCAGGAAAGCATGCAGAGGAAGCATTCCCAGGAAAGGCCAGGATCCACCTGACATCTCTTTAACCTCCCTGCTCCCCTCCAGTCAGTCCTTTGACTTCTCTTCGCATACCTGTTTACCTCTCCTGAGACAAACATGAGAAACTCAGTTTCTCTTTCTGCTTCAACTTTTCACTAGCCAGAGAAATAACGTAACGACAAAGTGCCTACATACATAAAGCATAAATACAGTCCTTACACTATTGTTAACTCCTTCCTACTCCTTTACAAAATTTGATCTGCTTTCAGGACTGAGTGAGTAGCCTGGGCTGGCTGTGAACCCCAATGTTTGCTGGCATGTGCGTACCTTTCTGGTCTCATGAAGGCTCACCCTGGCGTGGCTCATAGTCCCATCTCCATCATCAATGTCCCCTTATGCGTTTGCACTCACTACACATGGATCAACACAATTTGTTTTGCTGCTTTTGCCCCAGAACAAAGAGGGTTTGTTGATGTGACCGGGTTGTAGCGAACCAACCGGACACATTGCTTTACAAATGAACACCCAGCCTCCTCTGCTCCTGGATAGCTGAGCTCCTGGGTAAGTAATTTTTCTGATGAAGAATACTACAGATCTATTCTCCCCCCACCCGAAGATTTTCCCCAGCCATCCGCTGGTCTTTAGATGAGGATTTTGCTTAAAAGCATCCCTTGTTTCTGTCTTCTTGGTGCCTCTCTGCTGAGATCCAAGCTTAAAAGAATCACCCACCTGTTCAGTAACTCCTAGTAGATGTTGCTAGAGAAGCACACATATCTGTAATAGACATAAAGTTCATCTTTTGGCTCTAAACATAATTGTATAAGGAAAAGAAGGACTTACCCCCACGGCCTTGCTGCAGGTCTGTCACTCATGCCTTCCCTGGCTTAGTGCAGTGCTCATTGCCTGCCCCTCAGCTCCCAGTGAGCTGGGAGTCAGATTACGGCCACTTGTCTGATTGGGTTTTTGGAGTGTAGGGGTGGAAAGATTCTGCCCCATGTGGCAATTGCTAAGTTATATTTGCACTTGAAATAACTTCTCCATACCTGATCACTATAGACACAGGGCATTTCAGGAATGCCAAACACTTCATATTTCTTTAGCCAGCCAGTATTCTTTGCAAATGAGGATTCCTTATTTACATTCTTCCTATCACAAACAATTGCTGAGAACATACAATGTTTGTGACATGTTGTAGTGGAAATTGAACAACTATTAGAAAACAGTCTTGCACTAATACAACAAGCAAGACGAATCGGGATCTGGGCTTTCGCATGTTCGATTTTGAATGGCAAACAGCTGAGTTCACATTGAAATATTTGATCTGAGCAGAAGCATGATAATCACCATGTGATTTATAGCAGGTTTATTTAGCAAAGGCAGCCCTGATTTGGACTATAAAATAAGGAAAAATAGGAAATATAGGACACGACACTGCTCCAGGGTGCTAATCTCAATACTATATGAATAATAATTTTTTGGGTAAAAGCAACCAAATTTAAAACTATAGCTGTTAGAGAGACAAAATTATTGGGAACTGTAGATAACTTTCATTTTGGGAACCTAGCATTGACTATGCATTTTTCTGGCCCCAGTGAGACAGAATTGCAGGCTCTTGTCCTCAAAATGTATTCAGGATTTCAATGACAGCAAGATGATAACAACATTGTGGGGTCTTTCTAAATCCTGTGCAGTTTCACAGGATGTCCCTGCCCAAGGAATTTGGTGAACTTAGAGGGTCTGGGAATTAGCAGCCTGTATCATCATCTCATTGTTAATTATTTTTTCCTAAAATAGATCTCAGGTGCACAGACTTGGAATAATCACAATATGATCACCTGGTTTATGATACTCTGGTATCATTGGTTGTACATATGGCTGTCTGGTTTGATAATAGTTAATGAATGACTTTAAATAATATGATGAACAACTGTGATCCCACCACTCAATTTAGCAACTGAAACTGAAACTTTCCTTTTCTTTTTTCTTTAAAAATGTAAATATATGTATCATAGAATAAAAATGTATATAAAAAATGAAATATGGCAAGAAAGAAATAAAGAAGAGAGAAAAAGACCATTATATTTTTAAGTCTCTTATATTGTTTGTGAACATGAAACCAAGCAATGAAGACAAAGTTTTCATTAGAAAGAGAAATTAAAGTTTTGTGTGTGAAATTCAGAGGAACACTTTCTTACTGTTTTCTGCATTCCAAGATATCAAAGATTGGATTCACATTCTTAAAAATATGGCTACACATCAATCACTGTATATCAGTGGTTTCACAGTGATTTCAGCTTTTCGACAAGCATGCTACCTGAAAGTCAGATCAATTCTGAGGTGGGAGGTAGGAGGATTTATGGGCCTCTACAAAGGACACTTGACACATTTCACACTGACTTTTAAAGATATTTACCATTTAGCTTTAAAAATGAGATTAAACAATGCTCAATAGGAAAAGTACTTATTACCTTACTCATGTAACTGTAACCACTCTGTACTGTAGTTTTACAATAAAAATATAAAAAATGAGATTAAAAAGAGGCAAGATTATTTTTTTTTAATTTGAAAACATTGGGCAAAGTGCAATTGATTTGACCCCCAAATAAATAAAAATGGAGTAGGAGGTGTTTGTGAGCTCTCTGAGCCCCAGAATCCTTGTAGGGTTGTAAGTGTTTCTTTCTGAACAAGGGTTGTGGTCAGATCTGCAGAAATGCACAAAACATGGTGCTTCTTGGGGCACCAGCTAGTGTGTGTGTGCGTGTGTGTGTGTGTGTGTGTGTGTTTGTGTGTGTGTGTGTGTAGGGATTTTCCAGGTCCTCTTTTTAGGACACCCTACTAAACTCATTAGTATTCTCTGCATGGCCTGGGTAGTTCCAGTCACCATCTTACTAAGTGCCAGCAAAGCGTGGTTACCACAGTTTCCCAGCCTTTCTCCTCTTTTTGTGGCCGGCTGATGTGCTGACAGTCCCGTTTCTAAGGGAAGACTGTTCCCGTCAAAGGAAGGGCCACGTTAATTGGCAACAAGTCTTATGCTTGTTAGTATGCTCAGTAGAGTGGCTTAAAATGAACAAGAAATTAACTCTTCATCTACCAGAGCTACTTTTTCTTATTAGATATTGCTGTTGATTTTTTTAAAAATTCTTGGAATGACTGATTTTCTTGCCATAGCATTAGCTCCATAGATTACTCTGGTACTTGTTGGGTGTTTCTTCTAACTACAGAAGATGATCACTTGTAGTGGTTTTCAGGATCTGATGATGAAAGAGAGCAACTGTACTGTGCCACAGGAGTTGGTGATAGAGTTGGTGGTGTTAGGCAATTTGAGGTAGGAACCCTACTGAATAGAGGTAATAGTTTCTAAGCTGAACTGCTTTGACCTGTGTCTGGAACTTAATGAGACCTGGAATCAATTTATTTTTCCTGATTGGTTACTAAGGGCCTAATTCATTTTTAAAATGGAATGTCAATTTATTCATGAAATCTTGTCATCCTTACTTTGTTGTGCTGTGATCTTTGGAGAAAGGCAAGTTTCCTGGCACACTGACTGACACAAAATGGATCTTCCAAACTGGACCATCTTGTGAAGTTTTAATTGAAGAGCCTTGTGAAATGGAGGGTCAATAACATAGGGAAATTGAAGGAAGGATAAAACGAGAACCTCACAAAAGTTAGCCAATCAGCACACATTGCGTCTGCATTTTTAATCTCCTGTGCCACACTGTTTTCCTTTGGTGCCCATGTATATCTTTGAAATTTGTGGACTCCTTTTCCTACCCTTGCCCTCAGAACTTTTAATATTTCTTCATGTGTTCAGAGATTGAAGACTGAAACAAAAGCACTAAAAATGCCAGCAATGCTTCAGTACCAGACGGAAGTGTCTCCAGGCTGGTGGGGCCGACTCAATCCCAACTCATAAATCTTCTCTTGCTTTTCATGAATCTCAGCGTCATGAATTCCCCCCAGAGCACTTATATATCAGTATGTTCATTAAAAACAAACAAGTAAACAGAACAACAGCAGCCCAAACTACCACGACAGAGTTTAATGAAGCTCTGTTCTCTTTTAAAAGAGGCATTACCTTATGGTTATTATTCAGGGTAGTTTCTAGATATATTTCTCCCTAAAAGAGTAAAAGAAAAACAACTATCAAGCAGCAGCAGCAACAGCAGCAGCAGCAAGAAATTAGAATGTATCCTTGAGTCTCTTGCTTCCTAAGGAGCTAAATTTGAGAAAACTTGTCTTTTCAATGGCTGTTGAACCTTTCAAAAATTAAATTTTCTCCTTGGCCCCATGTCCCATGGGTGGATCCAGGTTTTCCCAGAATGTAACAGGCACATTTTCCTTAATTCAGACCCACACAGATTCTACTTTGGCTGGAGAGTTGTACTCTGCTGACATTTAAGGCAGGAATTCCCTGGGAAAATAGTCAAGAGATTCTTTGGTGGTATTGGCAGTATTCCAAAGGGTTTAGGGTTCCCCTTTCCAGGCAAATAGGGAGAGAGAGACAGGGAGGGCGGGCAGGAGAAACAGGACTTTATTGAGTGACTGTATTTCATCTGAATCTTGTACAAAAAAAGCAGAAATGTGGTTGGATGACTGGATACTTTTCTTACGTCTTATCTCTTACCCAGCTAATATGACAGTTTAGAGTTTGGTTGGGCATTTTAAAGGTGGCTTCAAGATCCACAGGAAAAATCCATATTTTCTTTTATAGGAAGCTAACTATGTTGGGATCTAATGTGCTGTACCAAAATATTTGAAATAGAGAATAATCTAAATGTAGCCTGTAGTAGCAATGATTCCAAATTTAAATTAAATTTGGACAGATTAAAAACAGGGCTAATATTTTCAGTGCTCAAGATCATCTACAATGAACACTACAGAAGGTTTCATGAGTTTTTTTTTTTAAACAAAGTAGTAGAGATCCTATCAGGCTCAAGGATAGAACAGGTATTTAAAATTCTGTGCCCAAGGGGAAAAGACAAGTTGAGTAGACCAAAATGCTTGCTGGTTAAAAAAGAAGATTTTAGAATAAATGTTAGGGAGAGAACATCCTGAGGAGCAGAAGTGGCTGCAATCTAATTCCCTTAACAGAAACTGATTTGCTGCTGTCAAGGTATGCAGGCATGGCCTTGGATGACCTTTCTAATAATCAGGCAAACCTCTTTTACTTCTTTTAAATGATGATGCACCCTTCTTGTAAGTTTAACTTTTCCTTCTGTTTTGCACATTCACACAACCAGAAAGGCACTTCTGAAGAAATTCACAGGGCTTTGGAGGTGTCACGTCTCCTCAGTAGTGTTTTCCTCTAACCCAAATCTTCTTATCACTTGCTGCACATTGGCTTGTATTCCTGCTGAAGGGACCATACTGCCACCCCCCCCATCAGCGCCCACTGTGGTGACTCATTTATTTAAGATGATCCATCTCCTTCACTCTTTGACACATGATTCTCTGATTCTTCTCCAAACACTCCTTAATGTCAAATTTGCTTAACTTTAGTACTTAAAACACCTCTAAGACTGGGCAATGGTTAATCTTGGTTGTCAGCTTTACTGGATGAAGAGACAACCTCCTCCCCACCCCCCACCGAAAACTGGGGCAGCACATTTCTCAGTGTATTTGTGAGAATGTTTCTAAAGACAGCAGGGAACTGAGTAGTTAACATCTGCCTTGAATTTGGATGGTGCTACCCAAGAGGGCACTGTCTCAGATGGGTCAAAAATGCAGAGGATAGGAAAAACCCAGGCACATACATATTGGATTCTTGTTGAGAGGCTATTTTTCTTTTTGGGTGGGCTGGGAGGGTTGCTATATCTGCCCTCTATGGATGGCACATTTTACATTCTTTAGCCTACAAAAGTGAGTTTACACTAGTGACACCCCAGGAAGCTCTCCAGTCTTCAGTCTCAGAGTATAGTTGGATTATTGATCTTGTTTTGAGGTTAGTTTCTTGGGCTGAGCAGCTTCCAGTTTCTCCAAGTCTACAGCCTACAGATAG